CAAACGCTCTGTGGCCTGGGCAGCTCCTGGCTCAGATCCCACTGGGGGCGCCTGCACCTACCACGGCTCTGCAAGTCCTGGGCTGGGTGCCCAGGCAAGGAAAGTGAGAGTGTCAGACACGCACTGGGCACTCACAGCCTCCAACCAAGGACCCCAAATGGCCCACGATCCCGGCCTGAAACAAGGGCCTGGAGCCCCCAGTTAGCTCAGAATCCTATCGGAAGCCTCAGTGGCACCAGACCCCATCGAAGACCCCCAGGAGTGCAGGACCCAGAGGCGCAGGGCCCGTGGGCAGCAGGACCAGGTCACCCACCCCTGGCACTGCCACAGACTGAAATTCCCATCCTCGAATGACAGTAAAAGCATCCCCTCCGGATGCCACCCGGACAGACCCCGCTGGACCGAGAAAGGCCTGGAAGGCGGCAGAAAGGACAGATGGCTGGTCCTCAGGGTCTTCTGGCCACCCCACAGGCTCTGCAGGCACCGCAGACTACCTCGGCCCTCCAGCCTGTCGCAAGCAGCCCTTAAAGTCCATGAGGGCAGGGCCAGGGGGACGCACCAACCGTTCTGGTGTCCACGGGGGCAGGGCCGGGGGACATACTGGCCTCCAGAGTGCGGCTGCCCCACGCAGCTGCCCGGCGGCCACTTGCAGGACATTGCACATTCACTGCAACTGTAGCTGAGTCTCCGGTCGTCCATGGGGACAGGGACTCTGGTGGGACTGGCCGTGGGTGGTCAGGTACCCTGGGTAATGCTGGGGCATCAGGGTGGAGGCCATGCTCTGCAGACAGGAGCCAAGACTCAGGGCTGGCCCCCCAATCACTGCTGGGAGTGACCCTAGAGCCCAGAGCTAGGAGTCACCACTAGCCCAGCCTGGGGTGATACAAAAAACAAAACAAAACAAAAAAAAAAAAATGTTCCTGAATGTTGATGGAGTGAAGATGTAGGTAAGATGCATCTTCTACACATCCCTAAACACATGTAAATACAGGCTAGCCAGCTTCTCATTCAAGTGTCACCAAGCGTCGGGGGCTTTGAAAGTAAGAGCATAATTTATAACTCTAATCATGACTAATACTAACAGAGAGCATGGCATAGTGAGTCATTCAGTTCCCACAACAGTTCCTCATGAAATACGGCTGTTATGAGTCCCATTTTAAAGCTATAACTGAAGACACAAAAGTGTTAAGTAGTAATGGAAGCTTAGAGAATTAATGAGTGTCACTGTGAGGATGTGACCTAGAAGAATTGTTTTGTGCATGTCAGCACCACACCAAAGGATAGAAACAGAAATGACGCTCTATCAGATCCTTAGTCTTCCCCGAGCACATCTGCAGGGTGGGACACAGGCTTATGTGAAGACCCTCGGGACTTCCTGGAGAGCCAAGTTGTTCTTGGGTTTTGTGCACAAACTCCTAGGTTTATATCACGAAACAATATCTAATTTCCTGAACCAAAATGTGAGTGACAAAAGCTGTGTATGGCGCTAAGCCAGCCAGACTAGGCCCCTCGGCTGGATCAAGGGAAGGGCCAAGGCTGCAGGGCCGAGGGCATACTCCCCCCTTGTCTTTGTTCAGATAGAATTTCATAGAAATTGTGTCACATCGTGGTTTTATCAAATTTGGACCTGAAAAGGTTTTAAGATGCTCTAGATATCTAGAGAAATGTGAAGAACCTTCTCTGTTTTTCTAGCTGATATTCCCCTAAATGGGCACCTGAATTATAAATCTTTGTGTAATTTTCATAAATCTTTGCATAATAGAGGCAGAAATTTGTTCATTTAAATATCACCATTATTTTTATTTAAAGGAACATAATACATAGCATTGTTTATGAGTATAAAATCATACAACTATTTTAAGAGGTAAATCACTATGGTAACCATTTCTCTGCCACTGGAAGAGTCAGCTTCTAGCGTTGGTATGACTCACCACTGTATATTGGGATTTTCCCCTTCTACTAAAGGAACCTACACATTATTTATTTAGTGGGAAATCTGGAGCATTGTGTATAATAGCTCAAATTGCATTTTTAATTATTAATGTTTCTGCAGTCAGGAAAGGTCAGCACTTGCTTTGCCTTCACAGTATCTCCCACCCCTTCAGCCCAGTGGTTTTACCTGCCAGTCCCGGGCTGGTGCTGGCCTCCAGGTTTGGAAAAGGTGGAGACTCGTGTGCAGAAGACACTGCCAAGGTTAGCACTGCCCACCTGGGGTCAATGTGCAGCCGGGAGCTCGACTGTGGACGTGGAAAGGCGGAGGAACACCAATGTAGCCCCTTCGTCTGATTGTCACAGAACCAGAGAATTGCACTCTTATAGTAATGATGGTAATGGTAATAGTATCACCTATCACACACTGTCTCCTGACTCTAAGACCTCCTGTGAGCACAAACTCTACAAATTTAGCAAAGTTTGGGGAGTCACGGACCTTTAAAGATGTCAGATATCTTCTTTTAGAAGGAAGAGAATAGTTAGCATTGATGATGGGGATTTCTCTTTCAATCCTCACAACACCCTGTGGGCTGCTGAGGGGCCTTGGGTGTTGCTCTCTGCATCCTGTTACAAAATCAGCCATTTTTCCTCCCGGGTCATAGTTCAGGAAATGAGTGAAGCCAGCTAAGAATACAAATGTCCTAAGAAGAGCTCTGGATCAATGGTCTATACTGAATAAAGGGAGAAAACTGGCTGGCGAAACTGGTTTTAAATATTCAGCATCCCCAACCACAAGTAAACAGGGTCAGAGCATTTCCTACAGGACAGGAAGGCAAGAAAACATGCATTTGCTCTCGTGTTCTCATAGTCAGAGGGGATGACAGTGCAATGAAGCAGCCCAGACTATACCTGGCAGGTGCCACCTCCATCGGGAGGGGCGTGCAGCTAGGCGTGACCACGGGGCGGGGGGGGGGGGGGGGGGGGGGGGGGGGGTGTTGCAGCTGGGAGTGACTGTCAGAAGGGGGTGCAGCCACAAGTGACTGAATCTGCAGCTTTAGATCTGGTCGAGCGCCTCCCGTGCACGGGTGCTGGTGAGATGCCCTTTGCCCTCTCAGCTGAGTTAGGGGTCCATCTCCTCGGTTCCCCACAAGTCAGGCCTGCCCTTACCCTGCTCCTCCCGAGCCAGGCCCTCTCACTGCAGTGATCTCGCCGTCTCTTTACACAGGCAAAAGTCGTTTTTGGCACCAAACTCCCAACAGGCTTTCCAGACCCTTGGGTCAAAAACTTCAGGGAGCCGGGTGAGCCCACAAGAGCTGCCGCCTCTTTGTGGGTTCACTCAGCTTCCCCACCCTCGGGGGTCCTGAGGTTCTGAGTCTTACTGGAGGAAAGTGAGGTGGCGCCTTCTGGTGGGGGAGGGGGCACTCCTGGTGTGACCCTCGAAGCTCCCGGAGGACCAGGTAGGAGCTGACGGTGCCAGAGACGAGAGGTTCCGCATCCCAGAGGCCAGGCTGAGCTGACCAGGACCCTTCACAGGTCCTGACCCACAAGCCGCCAAAGCTGCCTCCTTTGGGAAGGAAGCCCCGCCCCCAGGTGGTGCTGGGAGTCCTGGGGCCCTCCCTCAGCCTCAGACCCCGCGGGATCTGAGAATACCAGAACCACCCCAGGCTGCTCCCGAGCATGTGGTGTGGGCACTGAGCGGGCTGGGGCTTGTGCCAGGCACAGCCCTTACCACTGAGCTCTCTCCACGGCCCTGACACGGCTGCTCAGAGAAAGCGGCTCTCTCCTGTTCTAGATGCTTCTCTGTGCTGCAGGCAGGAGTGGAGACTGCCTGGGGCCCACCACGGTGCTGAGTGCTACCAGGGATCAGACCTGGGCTCCCGGATGCTGTCACTGAGTGGCGCTAGTTGGCGCTAGCCCAGGTGTGCCACCCACGCAGGCTTGGGGACCCGCAGCCCTGCAGGGATGGGAGGAACAGTCACTGTCAGCGCTCCTCCATGGTTGGGGGCTGACCCCTTCCCACCCAGGGGGTCCGGGCACTTCCCTACTCAGCCAGACACAAGCTCCCTCGCTGCCCACCCAGCCCCTCCACTGGGGTGAGAGCGCCATGCCTCAGGGAGGGCCACTAAGCGTCCACTCAGGGCCCAGCCAGCTCCATCCTGAGAGCCACAGGGCACTGCCGGCTGGCTGGCTGGGGGCTGGGCAGCTGCTGGGCAGGCCTGAGAAGGAGGGACAGCTGGCGGCCAGTCCAGCTACAGCGGAGGGCAGCGCTAAGGCCAGGCAGGGAGCCCGAGCCTCAGTGGCAGGCGGGTGACCCGGCCAGCTGGGCGAGGGACAGGGCGTGGGGACAGGGCAGGAGGCCGGGGGTGAGCACAGGGACGAGGGGCCACGCAGGGCGGTAGAAGGGCAGAGGGGGACACGAGGACTGGGGATGGGGGTGATGGGGTGTGGAGGACACCAGGTGGGCCGGACGCAGGGAGAGGGGCAGGGCAGAGGGAGAGGACGGCTGCAGGCGCAGGGCTGACCACATGGGCGGGGTGGGCGGGACCGCGGCCGCGGAGAGGGCGGCGGCCCCGCAGGGCTCTGCGCTGGGCGGGCGAGCGGGCTGGTCCCGGTGACCCGGCGGCAGGTGTCGCTGCCGGCGCTATAAGAGCAGCCGCGGACACCGGCGCTGCCCCTTTCCCCGCCGGCCGCCCGCTGTCAGCTGCTCGGGTGAGTGCCAGTGACACCCCGCCTGCGCCCCCACCCTGCACCCCTCCCCCGCCTGCGCCCGCACCCTGCACCCCTGCTGAACCAGCACTTTCCCCCACGTCTGTGCCCCTGCACCCCTCCCCTGCCTGCACCAGCAGCCCCCACCCTGCCGCACCCCTGCGAGTGCCACCAGCACCCCCACCCCTGCCTGCGCCCCCAGGACCCCCTGCACTCCTGCCTGAACCTTCACCCCTACCTACGCCCCATTCCCGCACCCTGCCTGCGCCCCCAACGCCCCATTCCTACCTGCCCACCATTGCCCTGCCCCTACCTGCACCACCAGCCTCTCCCCACCCACAGCACTGGGAGCCCCGAGGACCATGGTTGCCACCAGCGGAGCCAGCAGCAAGGGCCCGGCAACTGCCACCGGCTTCCACCCAGGCAACCTGCTCACCGGTGAGTTTCTAGCATTTTCTCTCCCAGTGAGGGTGGAATTAGAGCGTACACACACACACACACACACACACACACACACACGCACACACGTGCACATGCAGGTACCTTCATCCGAAGCGTTTCTGGCCCCTTGCATAGCCAACTTGGTTTCCCTTGACTTTCAGCAGTGTGCTAGGCCTGTGTTCCCCAGCCATCCTGTCCCCACCAGCCCCAGGGACCCCTCCACCCTGCTCTGTCTCTGGTTGGCCGAGGAATCCCACCTCTTTCTTCGGTTGCTTCAGGCCTCTGCCCATGGGATCTCCCCCACAGCTCGGGGCCCTGGCTTTGTCGGGAGGGTCCCTTGCTGGGGGGCAGTGTCCCATTGACAGATATACCCGCAGCTCCCTTCTTTAAAACCAAAGTAAACTTCAGAGGCTGCACACACTCATGGCCAGATCTCCTGGCCAGAGGCAGAGTGGACAATGACCTCACCGCAGGCCAGGTCTAAACCCTCCATCTTCCCCTGTATAAAACACGAACCCTGCAATTTGTCCTGCCGCCCTTCCACTTGGTGACTGTTTTAGCCGTGTGCCATGACCTCAGCCAGTGCGTGGAGAAAGGAAGCATCATGGCCGAGGACGGGGCGTCCCCCCGCCGCCCCCCACACTGGGCTGTGGGGCTGGCTCTCAGTACTCGCAGGGTTAATCTGGAAGGTCCAGGACCAAGCCCTCTCTTTTCCTTTGAGCAAAGCTAATTTTATTTTCCTGGGACAGTTTTGCTTGACTTGGGAAATGACCCAACAGTTATAAATACCCTGGGGAAACTCCAAGGCCTTGTCCTGCAGCGATTCTGAACCAAGAGGCCGAACCTCTGGGCATCTGCACCCTGTTACCGACTTCGAAGACACACCCGACAGATACCTGGTACCGCTCACCAGGTTCACCGGAGCGCATCACTGCGACCATTCACAAACATCCTAAGTTTATCATGACACATGGAGATATTCTCAATTTGAAGGTTCTTGTCCCTCAGGCAAAAAAGAAAATCATGAGTCTTTTTATTCTCTGAGAAACAAGATTAGGAAACCCCTAAGCAATAAGGGAACCAGAAAAGAAAGCCACTCGTTATCCAAGGACCATAAATAGATTTGGACCTCTCACCTCTGGTCTATTTTTACAGGGGTCACCCTTACAGTGCCGAGGGCTCTCCCAGAGGTGTGCGGGTGGGGGTGGGGCTTGGTGCCAGGATCAAGTGGCTTGGAGCTGGAGAGAACAGGCCACGCACTCCCTAGCCCTCGGAGCCCTCTGAGTGGTGCGTGTGTGCACGTACACACCAAGCAAAGTGCTCGTACCCTGCCTTCCCTCGCTATCAAACTGCATCTCACAGCGGGGCCTCATGGCCAGAGAGTGAAGCGACCGCTCTCTTATCCGGGTAGTTCAGGCCAAGCCGGGTCAGCGGGGGCTTCCCGCTGCTGGGCGTTTGTTCTTCTTTTCTTTCCTGTTTAACCGCGATCCGTTTTCCGCAGACCTCGACTACTGGGACTACGTGGCCCCCGAGCCCAGCGAGGGGGTGTTCGAGGAGACCACTTGCCGGGGGCTGGCGCGGCTGCTGGAGAACTGCCTGTCCGCGTCCAAGCAGACCAAGCTCGGCTGCTCCAAGGTGCTGGTGCCGGAGACACTGACGCAGAGGGTGGCGAGGGACGTGCTGCGGCTGGCGGCCGGCGAGCCCTGCGGTCTGCGGGGCTGCGTCCTGCTCGTCAGCCTGGAGACGGGGGGCGGCTGCCGGGGCCTGGACCGCATCGTGTGCGACGCCAGTGTGGTGCCCACCTTCGAGCTCACGCTGGTCTTCAAGCAGGAAAGCTGCCCGTGGACGGGCCTCAGGGCCTTCTTCAGCCGCGGCCGCGCCCCCAGCCTCGGGCGGACCCTGGTGCTCAGCTCTGGCTTCCGGCTGGTGAAGAAGAAGCTTTACTCCCTGATTGAAGCGACGGTCATCGAGGAATGCTGAGAGGGACGTGCCTTAAAGGACGCAGTGCCCGGGGTCTCAGGACGTGTGTGCAGAGGCTGTCGAGTGTGTCCCCAGCAGAGCTGTCCATGTCTGATACCAGCACAGAGAGCGAAGGAGCAGCTACGGGAACGCCTTGGCCAGCCTCTGCGAGACCCCGTTCCCTGCGGCTGGACGGGGCGAGGCGGGAAGGAGCAGTCCACTGTGGCCGTGTTGGCTGCACACGTTTTCCAGGGTGTCTCGCTCCTGGGGGAGAGAACCAGGCGTGCCTCGCCGGGCTCTCCTGTGGCCTGTGTGTTTGGCTTAGGCTCGGGGTGTGTTAGTGACCCCTTCAGCGGCAGCCTTCCTTGGGCTCACCCAGACTTCCAGACGGCTGCCGGCCAAGCGCTGGCTCCTGCCCAGATCTGCAGGGTTTTACCAGGAGAGGAACCTAAGGGAGTCCCTCTGCTCTGTGCCAAGTCACCCACCCCGCCCAGGAGCCAGCAGGGACACCACAGAGAAGCCGTGAGACCTGCTTCCGAGCCACTGCGGGACTTCCTGTCTGTGCTTCGTCTCTCGCGATGCTGTCAATCCCAGTTTTTCGCTTTTAGGCATTAAACGTTCTTTTGAAACTAGAAACTGAGACTGAAGTGCTCTTCCTTGGTGACGCCCCCGCCCTGAGTCAGAGCGGAAAGCACGTCCCCAGCCAGCCCCTTCTCACCGGCTGCCTCTCGCCATCACTCACAGAATCCCACAAACCACCCGACAGCTGCATTATCTCATCCCGGCCTCTTCTGGGCTGAAGCTTCTCTCCTTGGCCAGGGTCTGCCAAGAAGTGGCTCCCTGCCACTTTCTGTCCTGAGACGGGCCCTGGACCAGGCGCACCTGGGCAGAGGAGTCACTCCGAGCAGGGGCCAAGACCCCAAGGGCTGGACCAGAGCCACCCCTTCTGCGTGAGGTGCAGCACAGCTCTCCCCTCGGCCGTTCCCAACCCCCCCCCCTCCCCCGACGGCTCTTGCCAGCCAGATGCCTGTCCCAGCCCTGGAGACCGCCGTGAGCATCCCTCCCGCCCTGAGACCAAGACTCGGGCCGACCACGTCCTCCTGGGCTTCTGAGGCTGTGTGCCCCCTAATCTGGCACGGAACCATTCAGTCAGCAAGTATCCAAACACCCCTGGCTCTGCTAAGGCTTGGAAAATTCCACCAAGCTCCTCCTCACAGGACAAAGCACAAACCCGGCTGTGGGGCAAAGTCTGAGGACATTGGCACAGATGGACATGACCTTTCTCCACCGACCACTCGTTAACTCTGTTCTTCACTGCTCACAACCAATGGCTTATGGAGACTCAAATTTATACTCTTGTTGAAGGAAATGAGTTTGTCTGTTTTTGCCAATAAAGCATATATTTTTAATTCTCTTGTCATCATCTTTTTTGAACTTATGTAGTAATTATTCTAAAATCTATATGACAGTATGTAAGGGCAGATGACAGACTAATCCTCTTTTTGGCTAAGGAATTACTACCCTTCTTTATAATATTTCAATTGTATTTATTGCACGTGCTCGGTGTCAATAAACGGTGGTTAGCTTTTCACTTTTTTCAAGCTCAATACTACTTCTTACAGGAAGACATTATTAATCTGAGCTTCTTTGGCAACCATCTTTTAATTTGGTGTTCATCTTTTAAATTAAAAAAAATACCTTTTTTGGGGAACTGAGGAGATGACTCAAGAGGCTGGAGCACGTGCTTGGTGTATGTGAGGCCCCAGTGGTCCCCAGAGCAGTGCCGGGCCTGACCGAGGCAGCCCTGGGCATGGTTGGGCTGGCGCTGGTGGCCTCCAGCTCCTTGGAGCCCGATGACTCCACTCCTCAGCCAGGCACTGAGACATGAGACCCTCACAGCTGTGCTGAGAGGGCCTGGCAGAGGCCGGGGTTCCCCTAAGCACTACTTAGAAGGCAAAAAGATACAGTTTTAAAGAAAAAAAAGTATTTGGTAAAGATTGTGTGTGTGTGTGTGCGTGCGTGCGTGCGTGCGTGTGTGTGTGTGTACATATACAAATTCAGCTTTCCCTTTCATTTTTATCAGAATTCGCCGCTGAGCAGAAAACTTTTCTAATTCCACTCTTACTCATCGATTGAATTTTAACCTCTTCTCCCCTTCTTTTCCCTTTTCTTGTTTTTAGTCTCCAACCCAGGTTTCTCACACAGCACCACCCCACCACCCGCATCTCCTAAGTGCCAGGCTCTGTCCTGGCACTGACCAGCGTCTGGGGGGGTGGGGCAGTGGCCACCCCCCACCCAACTGGTGAGACAACGAGAGGAGGAAGCAAAGAGCCACCAGCTGTCCGGGGAGCAGAGGTCACCTGGGCCTGCCCCTGTGGCCTTATCACCTTTACCTGACATTTAAACCAGGAGTTTGTGCTTCAGGGTCACACCCGGAGCTTCGCGTATGAAGGATTCTCGAGAAACCCGGCAGGAGAATGAGAGAAGCCCCCGCAGCTCACACACTAGAGAGAAAGCAAAGTGGGTCAGGGGCCGCCTCCATGACAGTCCCAAGACTCGGGTCAGTGGGACTCTTCCTGCATCTACCCAAGGGCAGGGGGGTTGGCCCAGGGCTGGAGTCTTCCTCTTGTCCCAGGAGAGAGTCATTTCCTGGTGATAGGTCTGTGCCCACTGTGTGATCTGACCTGCCCATCTGCCAGGCGGAAAGAAGCACATCCCAGCAGCGTCTCGAGGAGCCAGCAAGGGGTGATGGCGGCAGAGCTGAAGGCAGGCTGGTGGCGATGGGGAGGAGGGAATACCGGCAGGCCTGGGGGCATGGGGGGAGGGGTGGGACTCAGCAGTGAGCACCTGCCTGGCATGTGTGAGGCCCTGGTTCAGCTGATCCCTGGCGCTGCAAAACAAATTGAGTTTGGAGATGACACGCATACACAGTTGAACACCGACTCCTGTGGCTTATGGGTATTCTGTAACCTCCTTTCGTACTCACTGAATTAGGTATTTTCCATCTTTCTAAGTCTATGGCACTTGGAAACTGTGTCAGCAGCACAGTCAGCTCCCAGGAGAGCTCTCGGTAACCGCATGCTCCCTGCTCCTCCCGGTGCTCACCACACAGACCCAGGCAACGAAAGTCCCTTTATGGGACCCTCTACCAGGGGAAAATCGGTCATGGATTTTGAGGGGTGTTTTTGTGGCTTTCATCTATTTTTATTTATTGATTTCATCACCCCTTCATGGTAAAAGTGACCTATAATTACTGTCCCCGTTTGTTTAATGTGTTTGTAGTAGGAGAAGGCAGTGACCCGAATAAACGATCAGACCTTCCCATCTCTTACTCAGTCTCCTGAGAATAGCCTGCCCGGAGAGGAAACACTCCCTCGGTCAGGACTGAGCCTGGGCCGCATTCTCACCTTCTAACCTGGACAGGTGCTGCGTGGATGGGTGCCTCCTAGATTCTAAATAGAAGCACTTTCCAATGACCTCCTCGGTAGAGTCTGGACAGGGGAGGGTGTGTCGAGCGGCTCCAGGACCGGTGGGTGGCTGGGTTCCCAGGCTGGGTGACGCGGGCCAGGCCTGCTGTCCTGTGGCAGGCACTGGACACATCTCCACTCCTGAGCCCATGTGGGAAGGACTGAGACGCAAAAGTCCCCATGAAGGGAGGTTTAGGGGGGCATTAGGAATGTTCTAGATTCTAGACCATGACGGTTGCTCTTAACTCATCAGTGCTGCCTCAACCTTCCAAGACCTTGTTCTCTGTCTCCTGTCACTGATCCTGACTTTGCCACCTGAGCCTCAGCAACACATCCTGCCCCTGTGACAGCACAGAAAGGCAGGTGCTGCCCAGGGCCTGGCTCCGAGGGGTAGTGGGCTGTGTGCTGTGTGGAGAGCCGAGCCAAGCACTCCAACCTGGCCCCAAGCATGGTGGGCAGAAGGCCCCCTGGCAGTGCTGGCCCACATTTGCGGGCCCCCATACCTCTCTTCAGAGCGGTTCGAGAAGACAGCTCTTTCTGACCAGCCCTCCAAATGTGTGTGCGCCCAGCTGAGGGGGACCCCGGGTAACACACGTGTTACCATGTGATCAGGTACCTTGAGTTACGGAGACCTAGATGAAGAGCCCAAGCCCAAGGCTGTTCCGAATGCAACCCCTGAAAGTGCCACCTTGGTCATTCATGCTCAGCAAACCCGAGCCATCCCATCTACTCCTCATGTACCCACAGTGGAGTCACGAGGAAGAGATGTATTCTAGATATTTTCATTTTCTTACCGCTCACAGGTGGCCAGATGCTGTCTTTCTCTTTCACACACAGAGAAAGTGATGACAAATTCAACTGAAGATTGTCATGATCCCTGGGGCTTCCGGCCTCAGAGGTGTAGCAGGAAGCTCAGCGAACACAGCTGTTAGGAAGAAAAGTATTTCTGGAATTCAAGCATTGCCGCTGTGAGTTAGCTGGTTTATCTTTATTACTTTGAACTTAGAGGGCCCCCACAAATTACAGTTTACAACAAATCTTTTATGATAATCCTTAAGGTATATTCTTGTATGCGTCAGCTCGTGTAGAACAGAGAAGTAAAATAAATTTTCCTCTCTAAAAAAATTTCAGGGCTGGTACAAGATAGCAAACAAACAAATTGCACAAACAAACAGAGAAACTCCCTCTAGACCAGCTGTCTGTTGGTGCTTCAAGCTCCCAACATGGGCCCCTCCTTCACTGTGTTTATTCTCCCTCCGACTGAACCCACAGGCCCCAGACGTGCACTGAATCTTTGTGAAGCAGCCTTAGAAGTTCTTGTGTCCTGTCCGCCTCATTGGAGAGGAGTTTCTGTCACCCTGTCCCATCTGGTGAACAGCAGGAGGTGCACGGGTGTTGGGACGCGTGGATGGTGAGGCACAAGGATATTTTCCTTCACAAGGACTGTGGTGAGTAAAACTGGAGCTGAGGCCCCAATGGCAACAACCGACACGTACTAAGTCTCTTTCCTGGCACTCACAGTAAGTGAACATTTATGCCTATCATTCTGGATAA